GGGGTGGTGTGGCTGACGGGTAAATAACGAGCTTCCCAGGTTGAGGGTTTTAGGACACACTTGCTGCCTCTTCACACGGTGCCAATAAATTGCGAAGGCTCTGAAAACCCTCAATCCCGGGAATGAGCCCCGAAACCGCTATCCCGCTAACCCAAACCCTGAATGCTACTAACACTCAAAAAGACTCTGCATACCCGAAGCACGATGCACCCAAAAACACCGGCTAGGAGTCAGAAAATCATCTCTGTGTTCTGTTCGTTTTACCTAACCCTTGAGCCAAGACTTACAAACATACCGCTAAACCCCCAACAACCTTTGCACACTATTTAAACAATACGAACAAACAAAAGCCCTCACAAGTCTCCAACTCCCTAAAAACCTCTTAAATCCCTGGCAACACAAAAGAAACCTTCAAACCCCAGCGGCAAATCCTACACCCAAAGCCTTTAAACCCCTCTAGGAACCTCAAACCTCGACCCCAAACACGGCCGCCAAGACACAGAAATATTACTCCATAGAGGTGCCGAGCCAAGGCATCCCGACCCTCCATGGCCTCTCAGTTCTCTTTGTGGGCAAGGGCTCTGGGGGTTTAGGGTTAAGGGTTTAGGGCTTTGCAAGGGTTAAGGGTTCAGGGGTGCGGTTACTGTTTTCTTGAAGCTTGTTCCGTGAATCAATTCAGAGTTTAGGCGTGGTTTAAGACTCTAGACAGGTGGAGGCATAGACAGACAAAGAGACAAACAGCCAGCCAGCCAGCCAGCCAGCCAGCCAGCCAGATACCTAGACACAGTGATACAACGAAGACACGAAGAGTAATAGATACGTCGGTACACAGATACACAGACTGGCAGTCGGTAGGTATAGGCAGGTAGATAACGCTAGACAGGGACTATGACTACGTTCTCAGACTGCTATATACCCCCTGTACCCTGTCAGATCTCTTCCATCAGTGCGAGCATAGCTTCCATCTTCGATTGCACACTTGGGTGTGCTATAAACCCGAAGCATGTCATAATTACCCTAAACCCTAACAGCCCAAGCCTCTAGGGCTTAAAATCCCGAAACCCAGGTTTTTGTTTCAGGGTTTCGGGGTCCGAATCTATGTTGCCAGCTTACACAAACAACCGGCGAGGCCTGCGCTACGGTCCGCGACTGGGTGATCGTCTGCCGGGAATAGCGCTCTCCCACAACCTCCAGAAGGCGGGCGGGGGTTGTTTCATGTGGGTGGTTGTCAGGGTTTAGGGTTTAGGGTTCTTTGGTCCTTATTATAATACGGCACCTTATATTTAGGGTACCCAAGAAGGGACCCTAATTTTGACAACTACCCACGTGCCTTCATGTCCTAACCCAAGGCGTTTGCAGGACTTTACGGCGACCCTGGGCCTAAGCCATCGAGACACAAACGAAGGCGTTGACTTGATGGATACATCAGGACGGATACTTAAAGGATCATGGGACTTAGTAAGCAGGGTTAAGGTAACTATACTTATAATTTCTTATAGCCCCAATTAGGGGACTTATAACCTTACTTACTACGTCCCCTGATCCTCCAAGTAAGTCTTGCTGACTTGCCGTCCAGGATCAGCGCATTCGGGTTCAGCAGGATTCAAACTTCATGGTCGGCCCTATGAGCCTATCCCTGAAAGTCCAACAGCCCTGAAAAACGAGGCGGTTCACGAACCTCCCTGTTTTGCTGGGCTGTTTGACTAACCTTCAACTTTTGGGTGTGATGAAGAGCGGTAGTTTTGGGATACCTGCAGGGGCCTCAACACGGTTCTAGAGTGCAGGCAAATTCTCTGTGGCAACAACATTTTTGGATTCCGTGCAGCAGCACATACGCGGTAAAATCAACAGCATCACGCCCTCATCACGCCCGGATCACGTCTAAACTGGGCGGTTCCTCGTTCCACATACTATCTATCGATTGGGCTCCCTCCCAGCATCACGCTCGAATCACGCTGGCATCACGCCCGCGGTTGCCCTCAGAACCCCTTCAAAAATAGGCAAAAGAAGCCATTTCTGAAAGAGAACACCGCTGGCATCGCTTGATATCGATATCTGAAGTACTTTTCTGGTCGTCGTGCAAAACAAGGACTTCGAAATGTGAATCTACAAAACTAGGCGGTTAGTTTCAAAACTAGGCGGTTAGTTTGCACGACAAGCCGCCTCGAAAAACGAGGCGGTTGACGTCTAGGGTATGGAAGTTAAGTGCATACGAAATTCAAGGAGTCTTGAGGCTGCAGCTTCAAACTGCGCAGCGAGGCGATGTTTGTGTTTATGAGTTCAGCCAAGGCTTCTCTTTCGATTCGGGCTTCAGACTAGGAAGGTTTCAGGGCTCTAGGGCTGGGTGACTGGACTACGCCGGAACTCGCATGATCAAGGTTGACCCTAACACTTCAATCCCTGTCCTTGAAGATTAAGCAACAACTAGCACGAACCTTTTTCTACAAATTCAGCCAACAGAAGATGCTGGGCATAATTTTCGAGCCACTAGACTGACATACGATGGTATGTTTGTCAGACCGTCCAAGTCGTCCAAGCCTCCTTACCGCCTAAGCCAGAATTCCATGAGTTTTGCATCGGCTTGCAGCCGCGCCACATAGCCTTATCGCCCTATGTGGCGGATAGTTGGGTCGACGAGAATTTCTGGCACCGTAGGTTGTACATGTCTTCATCAAGAGCAGCAGCAGCAGCAGCAGCAATTTTTGCATCCATAACAGCAGTGACCACTACCAGACACGGCGATACTGGTATGCAGGCCCGGGATGCAAAAAGGGCATGGCGGCAAGAAGAGCCCCTTCAGCCCGATCCCCCCAAAAAACATAAACGCAGAAGTCAAGGATGATAGAGAAAATAAACCACCTAGAATAGGGTCTCAGGCCATGTTACATAATGTTGTACTACAGACCATCTGAGGAACACGAGGTACTAGTATTGGCAATTCCTCGGGCTTGAACATATAGTCCATAGATTAGTCTGAGACCTCTTAGACTCTTAAGCTCGCCTGCCCCTCGAGCTACCCGAAGCCACCTGCATCTTCCGCAGGCAGAGCATTCCCTCAAGCTGGTCGATCTCCACCCCGAGCCTGATGAAAGATTTCATTGAGATGTTAGGGTGTTGGTTGTAGCAGGATTTGAGGGGTTTAGGATTATCTAGGGCCTTAGCAATTTCGGGCAAACTTACGGTTTTCTGGTGTTCAAGGCTTTCACTCACGGCAGGGAACCAAAGCACTCCATATCAGATTCTGCTTGAAGGGGATTACAGTAGAAGCCAGAAAGTTGGAATATCATTATCGTAGCCCCTGTAAGGTAAATTATAGGGGATCCTACCATTTATCCATACGGGTCTCGGCTCGAGCCTCCACGACACGCGGAGGAAGCCTGAATGCCCAAATCCATGCAGACCCGAAAGTAAAAAGCCAATACTTGCACTGTTCGACAATGTCAACTACCTCAACCCAGCGCCCAAAGGCCAACATCTTCACAAGATTCTGACTTAACGAAAACTGGACTGTACTTGTTCTTAAAAGATGCTGAGCCCTTCTGGGCCTCCTATGGTCAACTTCGTTCAACACCGAACTCCTGAAACCCGAAAACCCTCGAAGCTATCACCCCCAGCCCTCAAAGACTCAACTCAAAACGCGACAAACCATAAACACTCATGCGAAATAGCCGAATTCGGAGTGCCAGCCCTGAAACTCGAAATCCACAAACACTTCCTGAGCCCCTCGCCCTAAGTGTAAATTGAACCTCCAAACTTTACAAAGCCCCTCGACTCCGCCAAGCAACAGCGTGCTTGCAAATGACAGGCAGCCATCCGCCTTCGATGCTGCGCTCACCTGGACCCATCAACAGGATAGGACTGAATCAAGGACATAGCTGAAGCACTATGCTGCAGCCAGAACTAAGTCTAATCGGCCCAAACGCCCACGTCCCAAAACGCCAGAACACCGACCACCCGCCAAACCCAACCCCACAGACCCTAAACCCCAACCCCCCCTAGACCAACAAGTAAAACACAACTCCAAGATCGTCAGCTAATGTCTCTGAAGGAGTCTGGGGGTTCCCGGTCTCAGAAGTTTATGAACCCTAAACCGTCAAACCCTTGTGATACAGCAACCCAAGCACGAACACACGAAGCATTCAATCCCTGCAGAAGCTTAACCACCCTAAACCCTAAACCCTAAACCCTTAACTTTCTGAACAGTAGGCCTTGGACCCCAAGTCCTAAACTCCCCGAACTCTTTTCTCTACCACCCTAGCCTCCCCAATTCCCCACCCCCCCCCCCCACCCCCCAACAGCATACCGAACAGTCTACCTGACAAGGCTGGCCTGAGAGCCCTCCGAGTTCCCTTCCGGGGCCTCCACAGGGGTCATATCGAAGTTTTGCTTAAGTTTTGACAAGGTTTCGGGTGCAGGATTAGGGGTTAGGATGTAAGGTTTAGGGGTTAGGGTTTAGGGGTTGGGGTTTGGGGTGTAGGGTTTAGGGGGGGTGTAGGGTTTCGGGGGGTCCTGTAAAGGTTCTGAAGTGGGGGGGTTGTAAGAGGCTTCTTCAGTGTGTTGACACAGGGTTCAAAGGAGTTTTCATGGGGCATTTACAGGGGGGTCAGGGGCTGTACAAAGGTTGAGATGAAGGTTTATCAGGCCGGTTGCAAAGCGTTTGTACATGGGCACCTACGAACTCCGCACGGTCGCATGAATTTACGTCAAACCTCATCATCAAACCGAGGGCCTTAACCTTTCAGCCTTCCAGATGTGGTCTTGGCACCTCTGGGTTGCTACGGTTTGATCCGCTTAATATAGCTTTAATACTTAGTTGAGTTGCATGTTTCCCCTCGATAAGTAGAACAGGCCACTTCTATACACACTGGCCCCAGACAAGCCCGCAACTAAGGGTTACCTCCTCAGCCGCTGTGTAAACTCCTCCGTTTTCAACTGCCCGACCACGAATCCTACAGTGCCCTAAACTCTAACCCTACACTGCCACACCCCCAACTAAATCCCTAGTCGGCCTCAAAGACGATATTTCCCAGCTGCAGCACCGCAAAGGTGCAGGCCACAATGCTGTGCACATCTTCGGCCATCTTCAAAGCACCTGAGGATCTGGGAGTGTGGGGTGTAGGCTTTACGTTTTGAGGGTTAGGGGCTTCATAGCTTAGGGGACACGGTCTAGCATTTAAGGCTGGGTTGCCTGAGCTTTTCTGTCTGTGCTGGATTTCTTTGGGGATGGTTGAAGCTTTGCCGCTTGTCAGACGATTGAGGTTTGGGGGTTTAGGGTTTGGGGGTTTTAAGATTTAGGGTTTTAGGGTTTGGGTTCTTTGGAATGAGTGGTTTCGGGGTTCAGCAAAGGGTTTGGGGCTTTAGGGTTCAGAGGTTTTCGGGTTTATAGGGCTTTACAAAGCTGTTCTGGACCGTTGGAGTTCAGGGAGAAGCTGCAGGGTTTGAGGCCTTTTGGATCTGTGGGGGGTTTAGGGTTATAGTTGTAGGGGTTAGGTTAGGGCCTTATTGGGTTTGGGGCTTTCCTTGAGCGTTGAGAGATTAAGGTTTCTTGCTTTGGGGGTTTAGGGTTTGACGCCTTCGGGGTTCGTTGGTTGATGAAAGTTCCGGTGTCCTCTTCTGATAAGTGACAGGTGTCGAAAACAGCCTCAGGCCGACTATCTTTCCTGAACCCTAAACCCTCAACATCAAACCCCCACCTCCAACCCTAAACCCTGCACCCCTAACCCCTGGCCCCCAAACCCTGATCCCCTAAAAACCCCAACAAGGAGATCAAGGCTCCCTTTGGGGATTTAAGGTTGAGGGATTGCCGGCAAGACTTAAGCCGCTGACCCGACGGTAGAGCACCGAACTCCGACGTTTAAGTCTATGGCATCCCGAACACGTAGGTAGAAAGGCCCATATACATCTAAAGCTCAACCGGGCCCTACCAACAGCCCTGAGCCGGGTCACGCACACCTAAACAGACACACCTAAACAAACAAGCAATGTAGGCGCCTTCTAGTTGGAGCAGGGTTTTGGGGTATATAGTAGGGAAAGTTCGCTAGGGACTACAGGAAATACTATAACTCAACTTGTAATTGGCAAAGCTGCTGAAGGCCCCGACCGTTGCGAGGAAGTCATGTACCTCACCAGAGGGCTGTCATGGGGCTTCCGGTATGGAGCCTCATGGTCGACTGGCTTCTTTTTGTGGCTTTTCGGTATTAGGGGGTCCTTTTCGCCGCTACCAGTAGAAGCTCTGGGCTTGGGGCTTGTGCATCTGAGGCTAAGGGCTTTGAGACTTTGAGTCCGGGGTATTGCGGGTCGCATGGGGATTGGGGTTGAGGCATGTATATGCATGTATGCATGCTTATGAAAAGCTTCCAAACTTGAGCTGTGGATAACGAGTGTGAGTACACCCTGCTCGCTCCTATGGAATTTCAACGATACGTTAGCCACCCAAAACACACCCCGAAGACCCTCTGCTCGATGCTCTTTTCCACTTACCAACACCCCTACATTACGCCTTTCACTTTACCCTCAGCCTCGTCGTGGTCGGCGAGGTCATGGCACCCTGACTTGTTCAGGTACGCATAATCCTCACAAGGCGAAACAGACATACTAAACCCTAAACATTATACCCCTTTAGAACCATGATAAAATTCTACTGCTTCAAACATTCTCTTGGGTTTTATGTGAACAAAAAATTAACTCCGAAGGAGACTGTAGCATAGTTTGGACCTCTGCAGCAGGTGTCTAAGTCTAAGTCAAACATATTGGTAGCTCTAAGGCTGTATAACCCTCCGATTTCTGAGACCTCAAGCTTGCTGCTCCCTCCCCTAGAGCGGCGGCCCTGACTGCACGCTGGGCTCAGAATGAAGCCTGAACTCGCCTGAACCCTAAGTCCAGCAAACCCTTAAGCAAAGCATATAGCCTACTAAACCCTAAACCCCTAAACCCCTAAACCCTAAACCCCTAAACCCTAAACCCTAAACCCCTAAACCCTAAACCCTCAAACCCAGAAAGGGTCCTAGGTTCTGGGTTCCGGGCTTCAGAATTCGGGCTGAGGAGGTCCAGGGTTTAGTGCTTGCAAGGTTTTCGGCCTAGGGATCAAGGCTCAGGAAACCCTAAACCCTAAAACCTAAACTTCGACTTAAGCCCTAAGCCACCTAAACCGTTAAAATCGAAGAATCCCTTGAGCTCCCTCTGTCCTCTGGCTTGTGGCTCATGCCTGCCACCGATTGAAGGGTCACGGCTTCTGTGACTGCATAACATACAAGCGTTAGTCTGCTTCCGATAAACTTCAGAGCTATCGGGATTCATGCAATAGGTTTAAGCTTAGTTTAAATTCAGTTGGTTTCTCTGCTTTCTGTTTCTTTGTCTTTAGTCTTTCGTTTCATATCTTGCGGCGTGGGTCTCGTGCGAACCTTGCGGCTTGCCTTCCGGGTTCACCCTGCGAGAAACTTTCACCCAGCATGTACATAGTATAGACCATGTACGTGCATTAATCTGACACTCCAAACCCAGGCACCTGCACTAAGACCATAAAGGGCTTACGACAGCACACAATCAGTAAGCCTTTAACCACAAACCCCAAAGCCCACGCCGAGAGAACATCTGTGCGTGTTAAAGATAATTGGCCCCAAATTGCCCGAACCCTGTATGCAACCCTGGTTACGTGGGATGGTATGACAGTCCGGGATCCCACAACTCTAGTGGCTCTGAAAACCGTGTCAACAGCCACACACATGAATCCAAAACGAAATCGGTGACCCCACCCTCAAAAAAAAACCTAAACCCTAAACCCCAGAAAAAAAATGCCTTCCGGCAGGGCCAGGTTTCGCAGCTCCAGTGACTCCAGCGGCGTCTCCGCGACTCGTGCACGGAAGAAGCTTAGGACCTGACTTACACCATGATCCTTTTGAGCTGTGGCTAAATCCAAGTTTTCGTTCACAAAAGCCGTAACAGGGTCTCAGATGGAATACGTTTACAGCCAGCTAAGTTTATCGGTGTTTGTTAAGAATGGGGGTGCCGGGGTGCCTGCTTTAGGAGGATCCTTACGTCAAGGACCCTGTCTACATTGGGGTTGAGTATTCTGGCACTCGGAGTTGGGTTTCAGGCTTGGTGACTTATGGTAAGTAGCATCTAAACCGGTCGGGTTTTTCTGTTTCGGTACGGGGTTTAGGGGTTCAGGGTTTAGGGTTTGGGGGTTCAGGATTTAGGGGTTTAGGGCTGCCCGGGGGTTTGGGCTTAATCAGCTTCGGGTGCTCGAGTTTGAGGTTGACTCGCGGGTGATTGCATCAGGGCTGGTCCATGCTCTGCCACTCTCGACATAAAGGGAACTCCAGAAAGTTGGAATATGGTTTCAGGGTAGGATACCCTATAATTTACCATAAAGGGTTTAGGATAACGGATAATCATATTCCAACTTTCTGGCTTTTACTGTAACTGCTGATGCCGTCTTGAGATCTAATTCATTGTTGGGATAGGATTAAGCATGTACATGTTTATTCCTTCTTGGGTTTAAGTACCCATAAAAATGTAAACACGTTACCCAACTATGACAAGGAGATCAGGCAGCTGACAGGTTTCTGAGGGTCCTGCACGAGTATGAATTGCCAGCCACTCTTGCCTACAAAGAAAACCCACCCTCGACCCATCCTTAACCAAAGCCCTATGGATGTTCCTCAAGCACCTCTCTTGCATCTTCTCTAAAGAACTATAATGCCAAGCTTAATCATGATCCAGGCACATTTAAGAAGCTCATCGAAGTTTGAATTGACTCCTACTTGTTTCCAGAATCATCGAAAGGGTAAGTGCTAAAACCTGAACCTGCACCTGAAACCCTGCACCCCAACACCCCCAGCCCCCAAGCCTCATCAAAGCCAGAAATTCGCAAACCCTAAACCCTGAACCCTACACCAAAACACAATAACAGGGCTGGATAACCTGGTAGAAGATGTGGAAGTTTCGTTCGCCTTGCTGCTGCCCTACCACTCGTACCTTCCTGGGCTGCATCGGAGGGCTGCAGCTGGCTGTTATGAGGTAGCTCTGCTATACGTGGGTGGTCGTCAATATTAGGATCCCTTTTTGAGTCCTTATGATAATACGCCACCTAATATTTAGGGTACCCAAAAAGGGACCCTAATTTTCACAACCATTTACATTATCTACATAGATGCCTCCATTCACGATGACAAATGACTTTAGAGGGCTTTAACTCAGGATTGAACCTGAACACTTTCCAGTCCTGCATAGCTTAATGTTAGAAGAGTTCTTCTGACATCGGAGGGTTCTCCGGTTGATGATAAAAATCCTGCAGAATTTTCCATCCTTCCCATAGTTTAGGCTCCTTAAGGTAATGCAGGATTTGTACCATCAACCGTCTTGGGTCCCTTCTTCTCGTAACAGTGAGGGGAAGCCACAGCCCGGCAGCCCCTTGCAGAAACCTTAAAGACCTACACCCGGAACCCAGAATCCGAGACCTCTAAGATCTGAAGCCTTCAGCCCTAGCCCGTAAAATCCGAAGCTCTGAGCTCCAGAATCCGGAAGACCCATACCCTCAACCGCCCTTCCCCCCTGAAAGTAGCCCTAAACCCTAAACCCTAAACCCTAAACCCCAAACCCTAAACCCCAAACCCCAAACCCTAAACCCTAAACCCTACCCTGCAGCACAAGAAGCTCGAGGAGGTAACAATGGGTCTGTGCCGAAGCGAGGCGCGGGTTTTCATGCTGGCCGTGGTGGCCTGGGATTTTTGTGAAGGGTAGTCGAGAAGTTTGGGGCCCAGGTCTCTAGAAAGCTCTAGAGCCATCAATTCAGCAGCAAAGCTTTCTCTCACTTATATACCTATAGTGAGCAAGCTGCGGGATTTTGGAATCTTTGGATCTGGGCGAATTCCAGAATCGTAGCTGAGGAGCTGAACTGGAGCTCTGTGAATTTCCCAAACCGCGAGGAGTTGTCATTCCGCAAGGTCTTGGCATTGCCGAAGGCCTCGCGCGAAGGGTGGGCTTCAAGTTTTCTGTTCGAGGTTGATCGGGCTTATGGATCTATTTTAAGCAGGGTCCAGAAGGATTAAGTTTTTGCCATGTAGAGTTCCTTATGGGGACCATTGGATTTTTTGCTTTAGGGTTCCTTATCTAAGGTTTAATGACTCCGGTCTTCAGGGGCCGACTCGTGAGGGGGGTGGGGCAGGTTGATGGAGTAAGAACACAAAACCAAGAACAGCGGCACACAAACCCTCAGCCCTCAAACCCTGAAACCCAAAACCCTCCAACCACAAACCCCTATAAACCCTTGAAGCCTCGTATAAAGCCCTACACCCCTAACGCCCTAAACCCTCAAACCCACGAACCCTTAAGCCCTAAACCCCTAAACCCTCAAACCCCTAAACCCTCAAACCCAGAAACCCCAAAACCCTTAACCTCTAAACCCTAAGCCCCTAAACCCTCAAACCCAGAAACCCTCAAACCCACGAACCCCAAAACCCTTAACCCCTAAATCCCTAAGCCCCCAAATCCCAAGCCCTAAACCCTGAACCCTAAACCCTAAACCCCAAAACCCTCAAACCCCTAAACCCAAGGGCCCTAAAATCTGAAACCCACGAACCCCAAAACCCTTAACCCCGAAATTTCAAGGGCCCTAGGGCCCTAGGGACTCAGGCCTCCAGCAGTGGAATGGACTCCAGGACCTGCCTTTCCACCACCGAGAGCGCGGCCTTCCAACCCCAAAAGTCCAAGTACCCAAGAATCATATACTCTCCAATATCCTAACCTATAAAACTACTATCCTAAAACCGAGTACCTAATTATTGGGCCCTTTGGACCCTTGGGGTAGGGTACCTTTTTCCTAAACCTGCAATTGGTACATCTGACTCTGCCATACATGCAACAAAATCTAGTGGACGTCCCTGGCAAAGCCTGTGCGCGCATCTGGATCCCTGATTCTTGGGCTTATGGGTTTGGGTTGGTCTGGGGACTCTGCGCTGCTCTTGGAAGGTGCATCTGCATATCCTGTGCTGTGCTGCTGCGAGTGATGCGACTGAGCTTGCCAACACGACTCACACGAGCTCACCGACTTTGCAGGGAACACAGATCTATCGAACAGTCTTTAGCTGATCCTGCACAGCACTACTGTCGCCGCCATCGATCTCACTGCCCCAGGTCACGACGGATCCATCGCCAACAATGGCAGCAAAAGCGCAGCTGGAGGACTGGATCTGCTGCACATCTTTCAGCTGATGCTGCACAGCACTGCTGTCGCCATAAGGGTCAGCAGCACCCCAAGTCACGACAGATCCATCGCCGAGAATGGCAGCGAATGTGCACTCAGAGGATTGGATCTGCTGCACGTTGTGCAGCTGATGCTTGACAGCACTACTGTTGGCACCGAAGTCAGCAAGACCCCACGTGACAACAGATCCATCGTCAAGAATGGCAGCAAAAGCGCCGCCAGAGGCTTGGATCTGCTGCACATTCTTCAGCTGGCCCTGCACGGCACTACTGTCCCCGCCACAAGCAGCATCACCCCATGTCACGACAGATTCATTGCCAAGAATGGCGGCAAAAGCGCCGCGAGAGGCTTGGATCTGCTGCACATTTTTCAGCTGGCCCTGCACAGCACTACTGTCCCCGCCACAAGCAGCATCACCCCAGGTCACGACAGATTCATTGCCAAGAATGGCGGCAAAAGCGCCGCCAGAGGCTTGGATCTGCTGCACATTCTTCAGCTGGCCCTGCACAGCACTACTGTCCCCGCCACAAGCAGCATGACCCCATGTCACGACAGATTCATTGCCAAGAATGGCGGCAAAAGCGCCGCCAGTGGCCTGGATCTGCTGCACATTTTTCAGCTGCCCCTGCACAGCACTATAGTCGCCGCCGCAGGCAGCATGACCCCAGGTCACAACCGATCCATCGTCGAAAAGAGCAGCAAAAGCACGTGAATTGGCTTGGAGCTGCTGCACATTTTTCAGCTGCCCCTGCACAGCACTGCTATCGCCACCACAGTCAGCAGCACCCCAGGTCACCACGGATCCATCACCAAGAATGGCAGCAAAAGCACCACCAGAGGCTTGAATCTGCTGCACATGCTTCAACTGGCCCTCCACAGACCTACTGTCGCCACCTGTTTCAGAAAATCCCCAGGTCACGACAGATCCGTCACCAAGAATGCCAGCAAACGAACACTGAGTGGACTGAATTTGGACTCTGTTTACGTGCAAGATCAGCGAATCACCGTTCTGAATCGGGGAGCTTCTGGTCTCTAGGCGTCCGTCCAGAACGACTCCAGAGGAGTCCAACAATCTCCCTTTCCCGACTCCAAGTACTATCTCGGCCCGGTGTGTCAATGTCTGTACAGTTTCATCCAGGTCTGCTTGCACAGTAGCTGTCTTTCCACTGAGCAGTGAAACTTCTACAGAAATGGACATGCTCCCCGTGGGAACTGCGCAAAACCCAAAGGCTTACCAGACGTCTGGTTCTGTGACAAGTACCCGGAAAGACTACCATGCGCAAACCTCTGCGTAGAGCTATCTGCTTAATCTAGATTTCAAGTTGTTGCTGAACTTCCTCCGAACAGCAAAGTCACTGCGGGATTGCGACAGAGAGATGTTCAAAGTTGAAGGGTTTCAGTCTTGGCCCCCTCGTTGGGAGCTGGGGCGGAGGATTGGGAGTTGGGAGTTTTACGGCTGTGGTGCATTTCGGTCTTCCGCTTCCGCTTTGAACTTGCCCGGAGGCTCCAAAGTAGTTCCTTTTTGGGGTTCATATTTAGAATCCTATAAGGTAGTCCCAAAAAGGAACTACTATGGAGCCTTAGGGTGAAGCCCCAGGTAAACACACAAAAACGGAACCACACTAGGTTGGGCCCTGAAGCCCTCTGACAAATGTTCCTACATAGGACCCTCTTCGACCAAACACGGGAAATGCATACTGTATGATTTCCCAGAGGCCTAGGCTTCAGCTTCAGATTGTGTTGCTGGGGCTCGTGGGGCCAAAATTCTGACGCCAAAGGAATAGTAGCAAGAGGTCTGTGACACGCTCAACCATGCTTACTAGCAGGTACTAGCTCATGAAAACCTACCTGTAGTCCCTGAACCGTCAACTGCGAGACAATCGACAGGTTAGAGAATAGAAGCTTGGCAATGCGAGCTCGTGCTTGCAACGTTTACGCCAAAGACCCTGCAGCTCAAGGTTGCGAACCCAAGAACCGAATAGCCCAATATTAGGGTCTCAGATTGGGTCTCTTGAAAAGCTCTTTCAAGGATATTGAAAGGTTCTTGAAGGGTGTAGAAGGGCCTTAGCAACAACAATAGCGGGTTGGGCAATTTTGCTACTACAAGGACGATACAGGATATAGTCCAGTATAATCTCAACCTGTCTTCTAGGTCGTCGCTCGACCCTTATCACGACTACTTCTTCATACCCCTGCAGTACTGCAAGTTTGGGTCCCGAAATCCAAAACCCAAGATTTGCTTAGAATTCGTGTGCACAGGTGAGAGTCCAACGTTGAGGATTCGGATTTATGGCTTCAAGACAGCAGGGTTTGTGCGCTTGAGGGCGCGAGATTCGGACTTCATAGTATTGATACTACCGTGGACCTTGATCTTTAGATTTCATTGTCTTCACAACCCCTAAACCCTAAACCCACTTCTGCAAATGTAGCCGGAAGAGTCCCATGCCTCCGAACCCCCAGAACCGGCCAAAGCAAGGTAACGCATCACGAACCTTAGGTTGAACTGTCGGGTTTAGGATGGGCTCAGGGTTTGGGCTTTGTGAGTTTTTGTCGTTTCACTGGAGACCCCAGCATCCATTTCTGAACAAGACGGGGTTCGACAACTGTGGGACATCTCGGGAGATTTGGGTATATGTCAGGGTTTGGGTCGCGAGAGCTCTGTACGGTTTGATTCGATTTTGTGGGTCGTGCGGGGGCCTTAATGATTAGAATAGGGTTTGGGGCATATTATCATGTAATAAGGAATCTTAAAGACTAGCATTCGCAAGCATTCGCGCCTATTTCGGATTCGTATGCTATTCACCAATCCATACCACCTTAAACCTGCAACCGCAACCCCTCAGGAAACAAGCACGAAGCAATCAACGTTCATCCTCTCCATATTACCCTCAGGGTCCGTATGACACGCTTTGGCCCCAAAAAGCACCATGTAGGAAGCCTGCTGGGCCATGGGTAGTGTTAGGGTTTAGGGTTTAGGGTTTAGGGTTTAGGGTTTAGGCTTAGGGTTTAGGGTTTAGGGTTTAGGGTTTAGGGTTTAGGGTTTAGGGTTTAGGGTTTAGGGTTTAGGGTTTAGGGTTTAGGGTTTAGGGTTTAGGGTTGTAGAGTCTCAGAGTATCACAGAGCACTGGTCACTAGCATAGCGCTTTGGGTGCGTGATTTTATAGACTGGGATATCAGTCTCACTGCTCCGTACTTGGACCTTGTGGCTAAGTCCGATAAACGCTTGCTTGAAACGCTTCACTTAACTCAAACAAGTAGCACAAAACCCTTTATGTACGAAACTGATTAAGAAACCCTGGGACCATAACACCAAAATAGTAGGGTTCATATAAACAGTTCTACTAAAGGCCCAAGGTTTCTTAACCAGGTTCCTAGAATATCCATAACAACCTAAAGATCCTGAAGCTTAAACCCTGAACCGACTACTGATAATATCGGGTCCCGGCCTGAACACTTATCTAGGGATGCTAAAAGGGATGCTATAAGTTACTCCGTACTACATCTTACTACTTCTTACGAGCCTCTCTCTCTCTCTCTGCCTCTCTCTCCCTGTACATATATATATATATATATAAACCTGTAAACATATGTGTGTGTATGTGTATATATATATATATATAAATATTTGTATCAACTCACCGTGCCGGAGCAGCTTGGTAGTCTCTGTCTTCCCAGAGCCACTCTCGCCAGAGACCAGGATCCTGAATCATGTCGTCCCGTTTTTGGGGGGTCTGGCCCTAAAGGGTTTAGGGTTTAGGGTTTAGGGTTGGGTACGGCCCCCGTACAGTAAGAGTCTATAATGGGGCTACTATTAGGGTCCTAATATATCTATATTATGAGTGTTTTAGTCAACTATTACTGAGTGGGAGCCGCACCCAAGGGTTAGGGTTTAGGGTTGAACCCTGCAAACCTTAACCCCTTACAGCTGACAGTGTTGAGAGGTAAGCTTCAGGGGTCTCGGACGTAGAGCGGAGGGGTTCAAAGTTTTCAGGTTAGGGTTTTAGCAACACTCGATATCTCATAAAACCGAACATCTGCAAAACAACCATAACAGATTCACAACTAAATACCTGGATCATATTATGATTGTCCTATATGGCCAGCTACGATGCTGGATGCTGGTTGAACGAAAAACTACGTGAACGGGATCCCTAAGCAAGGACAGCCCTGCAGAAACGTAGACCCTTGTTCTTAGCCCTAAACCCTAAACCGATTCTTGCAAGGCTCGTCTGCGGTGCGCCGGTGCACTTTATGAGCCTGTACGCCTCCAGCGGGTTCTGGGTATTGGGTTCTGGGTTTCCAAAATTTAGGATTGGGGCTAAGGCCAATGAACAAAACCCTCGAGAATGCAAAATCCGTGAGGATGCTCTTCGAATACCCCTTTAACCCTGACTCTGTCAGCACTCAAAGTATTGCTAACCAGGCTCCTGAACTCTGAAAACATCAGGCCGGATACTCTACAGCCTGAACCCGAAGCTCTACCCTGAACACCTACTAACCCATTTTCTCTTTCACCACCTGCCCGAACTGCGACGCACCTGCCAGGACGTGCGGTACACGTGGGGCGGCAACAGTGCCTCCGGATCCTCTCATCATGTTTCGGGCTTAAAAAGTTGAGGGTTTAGGGGTTTAGGGGTTTAGGGTTTATAGGGCTTAGGGTTTAAGGGTGTAGGGTTTAATCCTTAAGGTTTAGGGTTTTGGGGCTTAAGGTTCACCTTGACCCTCAAGAACCTACCTTTTAAGGACGTATAGAAGGAAATCATAATAAGGTACCCTCTCATGCTTAGGGCTTGAGGTTTAGGGTTTCGGGCTGCAAGCTTAGGGTTCTTTTTTGTTGAAGGCTTAGGGTTCCTGTTTGTTGAAGGCTTGGGGTTCTTGTTTTGAAGGCTTAGGGTTCTTTTTTCTTGAAGGCTTAGGGTTCTTTTTTGGTTGAAGGCTTAGGGTTCCTTTTTTTTGAAGGCTTAGGGTTCGTTTTTTGTTGAAGGCATAGGGTTCATGCAGGGTTCAGGGGATCCTGAAAGTGGTAATCAAGATGCTGGATTCAGTGTTCAAAGGGTTCAGGGTTCGGGAATGTGGAGCTAGGGCTCAGGGTGCAGACGGCTTCAGAAGTGAAGGTTTTGGCCTTGTTTGCTTGGTGTTTAAGGTTCTGGGCCGAAACCGTATTTTGGAGCTTGGGTTTAGGGTTTAGGGTTCAAGGTTCTGGGCTGAAACTGTGTTTTGGAGATTGGGCTTGGCGTCAGGAGCGGTCTGGGAGGTTGCGCGCTGTCTGGTGTTCCAAGACGTTGCCGGTTCATGACAACCATTCTACAAGATTGCATAGGAAGGTGTTCTGGAGTAGGGTTCGGGGTCAAGGCTTTATAGGGTTTGAGGACACCTGTGTACGGTTCGTTTCAAGCTTTATATACCCAAGGGTTCCGACAACATGGAGGAACTCTTGGGCGAAGCAACGACCAAAGATCTAAGCCCGTGCATCTAAGGTCGGTAAAGGCAACGAATGCCTCTCAAAGGACTGTAAACATCCCAAATCCGTATCATGAGTATAAACATATATATGTTTTTGTCTTGGGCTTGAGGTTGTAGTTCTGTAAATTCATTACTATATGGGAGAGGATAAATGATGTGTGCTTGGACCCTGGAGAATGATTCCGCCCGTCCCCATCTCCCATGATCTCCTCCGTAGAGAGGAAGGTGTTCAGGCAGTCGGAGTCGTACAAGCGCGGCAACGTTCTGAATGGGTTCACCGCCAGCAACACAGGGCCTGTGCTCGTGTAAATCACCTGAGCTCTTTTCTCTCCTTCCCCAGCCGACCACGTGCTCCCTCTAAGACGAGTAGTCTGCGACTTCGTTGGTCTCGGCGACAAACACTTACGCTGATGCTTTGGGGTTTGAGGGTTTAGGGCTTTAGGGCTGAAGCTCCCGGTGACAGGGGCTTCGGGCGAGAACGCAGGCCCTGAGTCTGAGAACACGAGGAACAGGCAATGAAGCTGGAGAAGGGCCACAGCACCGTGCGGAATGCAGTGAGTTAGTCTTACAAAGCTCACACTTTCCCAATCCTTCACGTTGAACTTTTGCCAAGTCACATCTCGAGCAAAGCGGCTCTCGATCGCGTGGAGTAGCTCCGGCTCATTCAGCAGAGACAAGAGACCTTAGCGAGGTCCAGCCGGAGTGCCAGGCATCTTGTTTTCATCTACTCGAGGGGGCTTGACAACCAGCGAACGACTATCCAGGGTCTGCAACATCAGTAGCAATATATGTACAATGCATATACTGTTGTACGTGTATACTTATTTTTTGATTTTATGGATTTACATATGTATATATATATATATGTATGTATGTATGAATGAATGAATGTATGTATATAGATACGAGTAAATTGATATGTATATAAATTAATATATGTATATGCACTATCCGCAAACAAGCTTTAAGAACGTCCCCCTGGCGTTGGCCCAGTCTGGCTTTGGGTCAAGATTTATCATCCACCCTGAGCGCTACCCCCGCGTAAATAGAACTTGTCTGTGCGGCTGAGATCATCCATGGCCGCTGCCCTGTCCGCCTCGAAGGAATACTAGGGCCGAGTTAGCCTTTGGGTGTTTTCTACACTCTCGTGTGGGGGTTCCGATGGAAGCTGATGGCAATGTATAGTTTGTCGTCTATTTCTATAGGTTTGTAAGGTTTGGCTGTGGTGTTAGGGGTCTACGAGGGTTCCGGTTTGAGGACTTCCGATGTGGGATTAGGGTGTGCAGAATATGCCGAGCTCTGAGATTTCATGCCTCTTTTTGGGGAATTAGGGTTGTCTTGAGAACAAATGGTATTTACAACCTGGTCACGGCTTGTGTAGTTGCCCTCGATCCACTTTAAATAGTGGTGAGAACCTGATTTGACTTCAAGTGGTGGAGTTCGAAGTTTGAGCCCAACCCCTTAATCCCCCTAAGCCCAAACGCCCGCAGAACCCTAAACACATCAAAGTCACCGAAAGTCCAAAGTCACGAAACACCTTGGGAAGCCTGAACCTTAAGGACCCCCTTCCGCCCTCCCCACCCTAAACCCTAAACTTTAAATCCTAAAATGCTTCCCAAAAGAGACAAACAAAATTCATGGCCTTGAGCAACTCTGGGTTCCTCTTGCAGAATGCCGGCGGCTCCTTCTTGATGCTAAGAACCTGAGGCCACTTGGGCTCAACTCCCCTTCCCTCAAGGATCCATGTGCTGAAGGGGTCCCTCCGGTGGTGGACATTACCTTCTCTCTTGGGGTGGAGGGGGGATGGTTCTTGTTTTAGGTTTGATTAGGGTGTTGAATGGCTTGCCGCTGGGAGGCTCCGTCTAAGGGGTTACGGAGCATTCTTGCTAGCTGTTTGTGCCACCGGTCTTAACAGGCTTCTGGGATCGGGTCTTTGGGTTCTAAGGCTATTGAAAACCTGTACCTGGAACCCTACATGATGATTGCCAGCGTGAGTGTTTGCAGGTGTGGTCATGTTGGAATCTGCCTTGAGATCGGGATGTCTGTATGGGTTTGGGTTTCAGCGGGGTTGTTTGGGGTTAGTGTTCAGGCTTACGCGTTGGGTCTACTTTTGCAGTTTCGGTCTCACAGAGACCCCAAGATTCCTCCAAAGCGCAGAATGCAGCTATGGGCAATGAAAAGCCCCTGAACCCGGTACCCTAGGACCTCAACTCTGAAACCCCCACCAAACCCTCAGGCCTAAGGCCAGAATCTGCGCATGCAGCCCAGTAGCTACATCCTCTCTCCGAGATCTCGCTCCGGAGGCCTGCACCTGCCAGCTCCAGCCAGGCCCACACAAGCAGGCGCGCACAGGAGTCTTCGATTTTTTGAAGGGGGTCGTCGTTAAGACAAGAATCCTATACTAACGAGGACCGATATTGGGCTCCGGAAAACCGCACACACGCATACATGCATGCAACAAGAAACCAATGCTTGGTTTTGTTTGGTACATCTTGGCATGCACATGGTACACACACGCACACTCGTGCAGCACGTGGGCTGATCTTTGCTGCTACATGCACACATGCATACACACTTGCTTACTTACTTACCTACTAAACTAGTGACTTACTTACCTACCTACTTACTTACTGACTAGCTTCCATGCATACGTTTATGCATACATGCATGCATGCGTACATACATGCAAGCGCACCTGACATCTGACACCATACCATGCCATGCCATACTTTTCCATACCATTCCATGACATTACTTATCTTCAACCTTTACATTGCATCAAAAGACCTCACACAACATCACATCAAATTACAACAGACTGCTTCGCCGCAACTTACCTCACCTTGCTTTACCTCACCTTCAATGCAGACATACATGTACGAATGCATCGGGCATTCGAGCGGTCGATAGGTCGGTAAGCAGGGAGGCAATCAGGTATTTGCATGGGTAGTGGACTCCAAGCAACTGAACAGTTACATCGATTCCTACACACAGATATTTAACACACTGTACTACAATTTACGACAAAGTAAGATAACATAAAGTAGCACCGCAATATTCCACAATGTAAGATTACATGCAGCAAAACAGCAAGCAGGCTCAGACTTGCTGCACATTCTTCAGCTGACCCTGTACAGCACTGCTGTCGCCACCATTATCGGCATGACCCCAGGTCACAACCGACCCATCGGCAAGGATGGCAGCAAAAGCACCGCCAGAGGCTTGGATCTGCTGCACATCCTGCAGCTGACCCTGCACAGCGCTGCTATCGCCACCAAAGCGAGCAACACCCCAGGTCACAACCGATCCATCGTCAAGGATGGCAGCGAAAGCACTACTGGAGGCTTGGACCTGCTGCGCATTCTTCAGCTGAGCATGTACAGCGCTGCTGTCGCCACCATTGCCAGCATTACCCCAGGTCACAACGGATCCATCACCAAGGAATGCGGCAAAAGCACCGCCAGAGGCTTGGATCTGCTGCACATTCTTCAGCTGAGCATGTACAGCGATGCTGTCTCCACCAAAGTCAGCATCACCCCAGGTCACAACGGATCCATCACCAAGGATGGCAGCAAAAGCGAAGTCACAGGCTTGGACCTGCTGCACATTCTTCAGCTGAGCATGTACAGCGCTGCTGTCGCCACCATAGACGGCATTACCCCAGGTCACAACGGATCCATCACCAAGGATGGCGGCAAAAGCACCGCCAGAGGCTTGGATCTGCTGCACATTCTTCAGCTGAGCATGTGTAGCGATGCTGTCTCCACCAAAGTCAGCATCACCCCAGGTCACAACGGATCCATCACCAAGGATGGCAGCAAAAGCGAAGTCACAGGCTTGGACCTGCTGCACATTCTTCAGCTGAGCATGTACAGCGCTGCTGTCGCCACCATAGACGGCATTACCCCAGGTCACAACGGATCCATCACCAAGGATGGCGGCAAAAGCACCGCCAGAGGCTTGGATCTGCTGCACATTCTTCAGCTGAGCATGTGTAGCGATGCTGTCTCCACCAAAGTCAGCATCACCCCAGGTCACAACGGATCCATCACCAAGGATGGCAGCAAAAGCGAAGTCACAGGCTTGGACCTGCTGCACATTCTTCAGCTGAGCATGTACAGCGCTGCTGTCGCCACCATAGACGGCATTACCCCAGGTCACAACGGATCCATCGCCAAGGATGGCAGCAAAAGCACCCTCAGAGGCTTGGACCTGCTGCACATTCTTCAGCCGAGCCTGCACAGCGCTGCTGTCGCCACCACAGCCAGCATTACCCCAGGTCACGACCGATCCATCGGCAAGGATGGCAGCGAAAGCACCATCAGAGGCTTGGACCTGCTGCACATCCTGCAGCTGACCCTGCACAGCGCTGCTGTCCCCACCAAGGCTAGAAAGTCCCCAAGTCACAACGGAGCCATCACCAAGGATGGCAGTGAAGGCGCCACGAGTCAACTCCAGCGGAGTCCAGCAGGCGCCCTTTCCCGGCTCCAAGTGCGATCTGTGCCCGTCGACTCAATGTCTGCACGGTCTCATCCAGGCCTACCGTAAGAGTTGCGGTTTTGCCGCTGAGCAGTCCAACTTCCACTGCAATCGACATGCCGGACTTCGTGAAGGAAGTCGCAAAATCGAACTCTCAGGTTGTCCTCAAGAGTTTCCTGCTAAAGCCGAGGTCGAAACACCGTGCCAACTCAGAGAGAGCTCGGGTTCTCTGTGTTTCGTGGGGATCCCTATAGAACAGAGTGTATAAGTTTCGCAGCTTGAGATCGAGACAACTACAATTACAGTACGGGTTTAGGGTTTAGGGTTTAATGACTCCCCTCATGTCCTCTGAGCCGCAAAGGTAGGAAGCTTTGGCATATCTTGTCCAACACTCGGGTGCTCAGGTCTTACAGGATCTAAGACCTGTGTCGAAGGTTTGGGATTGCCCCAGGCCGCAAACAAAACCCTTTAAACCCAGAAGGGTTTGGGGGCATCCCGATAAACAACAGAGGTATTGCCCGGCAAAAACCCACGAGCCCAAACCTATCCGAAACCCTATTTAATACCTAAGCCCCCAAAACCTGATAAACACCGAACCCTCCACACTAAGCAGCCTTCTTAAGTAGGGGCAAGCCCCGGAGACTTGGAGAACCCAGGGTTTCTTCGAGTTAGTCCTACAGTTTCGGGTTTACAGCGGCTGCCCAAAAAAAGCCTTAAGGACACATGCAAGGAAATCATAACCCGGAACTGAAGCCCGAAAGAGATAGGTCTTGGATAGAACGCTGATTAAACTTTCTCAAAGACTCTAGAACATTATGGAGGAATTCTAATATGAATTGACGTGTACTGGGCAATCCCCAAAGCCTAGTAGTACGCTGAAATTCAATCCTATAAACGAGAAAGAAAAACGCAGTCCCAAATGCTACCCCATGGGCATATGTCATGCTACGTAGTCTGGTTTCGGCGTTGGGTTTTAGGGGCGCCCAGGCGCTTAGGGGCCGAGAAACGGGCCAGCACCCAGGAAGAGCTCCTTCCTAAGAGGAGCCCTGGACACGACTGAAGCAACCCGGGGCCGCCCTGGAGCAAAAGCCTATAATATTTGGGGCCTAAATGATTGCCTACACGCATGCGAAAGACCTCGATGGTGAGGTCATCGCCCCGAAGGCTCTTCACGAAGCCAGCCTTCCACACCTGCGTGTATCGTTCAGAGTTTAGGCTTTAGGGTTCAGGGTGTATTGGGTTTAGGCTTTATAGTTTGGGCTTCAGGGCTTAGGGGGAAATGAAAGAGTTGAGGATTGCAGGCAACCTGGCCCAATGCCCAATGTGCTCACTTCGGGACTTGGGGCGTATGCTTCAAGGCTGATAGACGATGTTTCTAGGGGTCGCACGCGGATTTCAGCCATTCGAACAGACGATGCTTCTGGAACACTGTTAAAGATCCGTGCATTCGACCCATGAATAAACCAGCCTCCGCGATAAAGAGCTGCCAAGCCGTTTCGGGGCCCAGGGCTTGTTTCGCTTTGAGTTCGGGCCCAAAACCTGCGTCTAGGCGAGATCGAGGGAGCCAGCATGTGGAACCATTGACGAAACACACCCTTT